TAGAAACGTCGCAAGTTCAATTTTCTACAAATTTCAAATGCAATTGTTCAACTTTTTACGCGTCGGGAAGGTTGAGTTTTGCTGCGAGGCCGGGGGGATGGGGTAATGTGAATGGCTTAATGAACTCTAAGAACCTGAATTCGAGTCCCAGCGCGGAGAGAAAAACGTTTTCCAATTGGGAACACTTTTGTTGGTTCATGTATTATAATACAGCCGTTACAAATAATGAGAGAAAATATATGCTGTTGAAGCACAACTAGTTCACATTTACAGAATGGTATCTATAATATTTTAAACTTGACCGTATGGAAACTGTAGGCCACACAACTTTTACTTTTACTTACGCCTTATTACGCACGTAGTAAAGAGAAAGTGGTGTAATGCTGCGGCAAGAATTTGAGATTGTATCTCGCAAAGAAACTCGTATTATGGGGCACTGGTATTGAAAAAGTGGTTAAACCGTGCTCTTTTGTGCAATAAATTACTTCCCTAACACGTTCAGTCAGAAACGTTTAGTGAGTCGACACCAAAAAGGCGATTGACAGTTAAAAGTACGTGTGTAAAAGCCTTAATTTCCCCGTTTCCGAACGCGCACCTACCACGCATATCGTAGCAGGGAGGAAACTCTCGCGAAACTCCAAAGCTACTCGCCCGGCAAGACCACATCCGCAGAGAATCGGCTCGCATCTCGGCCCACGCCAATTGCCGCGTGAGGAACGAGTAGCGGTGCGCGAAGTGCGTGAACACTAGGACCTCGTCGTAAAACCTTCTCGTTAAGACAGGGGTTCTGAAAGTCATGGACTACCACTCCAAATTTGAGGTGCTGCTAACAGATGAGACGTAAACGGCCCTGCTCAGTTACCCACCGCACGGAAGTTTTGGGAATAGTCACGACACGGAAAAGTAACTCAGTAGCCATAGAAGCCAGAAGCCAAACCAAGGCTAATCCGGGGTAACCAATAGGGTGGCGCAGGGGCGGCAAAATTTCACACAGAAAATAATAATGTATTGTAAAAATTTGGACCATTTAATTTCATATTTTAACGCACCTACGATTCGGAGCGATTGAATTGAGCACGGAATCTTCCATTACTCTGTGACGACTATTAAATGAATGTATAATAATGTCATATTGTTTATTGTAGAGACTGGCAACGCCGTCTGTACTGACTTGTAGGGATTAACCGAAATTTATTTTGTGTTCGAATTGTTTATGACTAAATTGCATAATAACACTTGCACATTAGATTACAGTACGGATAAGATCCTTCAGGGAAGCAGTATAGATCAGAAGAAGGCCATAGCAAGATGACCGAAACGCCATCCCAATTGACCGAGACGCGGCTCATCCCAGATAGCCAAGAACGTATTGACTCCGGCCGTGGAAGCTTCCGAACGCATTTTTCAGGGAAGTGCGTGAGTAACGCTTTGACAATTCAAAGAAAGTTTCTTTGATGGATCGTCGATAGTCAAATCCACATTAGCTTAATCACATATATGTATGTGCTTTCCAAACTGTGATTTTAGTGCTCATCAGTATGTGTGGTGTTTGTTAAAATATTGAACTTTGTTGTAAATTGTATTGATGATGTACGTACAACATTCGACTATGTGTTATTGTAATTGTATGTTTGACTATCTGCTGCGTTGTTCAAGCTTGTTTATTAGAGTCATTTAAATTGAAACACTTGAATAAGGGGGCAGCGTGTTCCTCCGCAACGCCACTACGCTAGGTAGCCGCTCTCTCGCCTCCCTCAGCCAAGCCGACGAGCCCCTGCCCCCGGTGGCGAGCGCCATCAGCTCTCCCACTCCCCCTTGCCCTGTGGCAGACGGACGACGTCGAGCCGGCCCTCCTTTTTGATGCACTAAGGGGCAACGCGTAGGTGACACTGACATCCTACTCAGCTTTCATGCCACGTCTTTGTTCACAATGAAGCCACTGTCATAAACAGCACATTTAGCAACAGAATCGGACGTATTAACTCAGTTCTGGGTCACGTCCGATTTTTTTCAGTGCCGGGAGCAACTCAATGTCCTAAAAGAAGGGGCGGCCATGTGTGATGTGTGTGTCTCTCTCTCTCTCTCCCTCTCTCGTGGTGGTAAATTTATTCATGATAGCCTTCGAAACGGAGTCCCAAGAGAGTGTGACACTTAAACGATAACTGTAGTTTCAGTACGTGGACGATACGCTGGTGATGTAACTGCAAGGCCATACCTTAGCTGACTTCCTCCAGTACCTTAATAGCTCCCTCTGTAAAACTAAGTTCACTAAAGGGTGGACTACTTGAGTAAATCGCCTTTTCTCGACGAGTTGAGTTGTATCGGGCCACTGCCAGGGAGCCGAGACCCCAACAGGGGGCCTGTCGAACTAACATTTGAGCGGCTCAGAAAAACGCTTACAAAATGGTGATGGTCTCATTTTCCATAAAATCTCTTAAATTTTAGAAAATAGCAAAAGATCGAAATTTTTCGGTACCTCCCTACAATTACAATTTGTTTCCTTAATAAAATACTTTCTTTTAAAACAGGCCTTGAAATACGATACTACAATTTTTCGAAAATATAAGTAGTTTGGTGAAATCTAGGCATATATTAAAGTTATTTTCTGAAAAACCGGCTTAATTTTTTTCATTAAATATTCTCTCGGATAGACCATTAGATACTTAAAAAACGGTTTATGAATAGTTGTCGGCGAAATCTGTATTTTAAAAATATTGATATAGATTTCTCTGAAATGAAATTTGTTCTTCTTTCTAAAAACTACTTCTTTTAAGTCTTTATGAACAATTTTTTTTGAAAAACGATACGTTTCGGTGTAATTTTGGGAGAAATGGAGGGAAGTTTTGAATAAGTATTTTCTGAAAACTGCTGCAATTTTTGTTTCGTCAGAAAAAGCAAAAGACACTTAAAAACAAGGCACAGGTCCCATTTTTCGGCAAATTTTTGAATTTTCAAAAATTGCAAACAAAAAATTTACATTGCAAAATTACAACATTGATGATTAAGATTCTTTTCCTTAATGAAATCTGTCCTTTAATACATTTTGAAACAAGATAAATGAAAATATATGAATTCTTGAAAATTGCAAACACAAATCTTCAATCTTTTTATACGTGTCGGGCAAGTTTCACTGTTTGTAGGTAAAGTAACTAAACGCCTTAACTCTAAAAACCTGGTTTCAAATCCCAGCATGGAGAAAAAAAAATGCTGGTTAGTAACACTTTTGCAGTATCGTATTATTCACAGGTTCCTGTAATATTATAATAGTGTGTAAATGTTACAAATAAAACAAAGTATGTGCTGTTGTAGCACCATTACTTTTTCTTTTCCAGTCTGAGAGTATCATTTCACGCTTTGCTCAGGTTCCATTCCATTACAGTCTGGCACAATTGTCACCGTACCATTATCCTCCCATTTCCCAATCAGAAAATCACAAACAATTTTTTCAATTAATCAAAATACCATGAAAAATTAAACAATTATCTCAAAAACTATTCCAACAATTGTCTAAGTGTTTTCCTCGGATAGAGCATTAAAGGTGTTAAAAAATGTCTGGTTGCGTATTTGAAAATACCAAAAAATTATCTTTACAAAAGTATAAAGTTGACAAGATAACTTTTTCCTACTGAAATACTTTCTTCAACATGACATCTTTAAACTAGCAGAACCCAGCAGACATCCTGCTCTCTTTTTTCCCTCTTTCCTCTCCCTCAGAGGCCCTGGCAGACATCCTGCTCCCTCCCTCTCTCTTTCTTTCTTTCTTTCCTCCTCCTCTTTCTCTCTCTCTTTTGTCCTCCTCAACTTCACCCTATGTCACACTGCAACACCCATCAACAATGAAGTCCAGGTGGATTGGAAATTACATTTAACTAGTGCAATCTCTTATGTTGCAGCACCATCTAGTAGAGTTACAACAAAATGAATGGGATAAACACCTTCTCTCACTCATACACGTGCCAACTTTCATTAAAATCGGTCAAACAGTGCTGGAGTTCACCGATCTTGAACATACCAACATCCATTTTTGCTTTAGAAGAGAGAAAGTTGTGTAATGCTGCACTAAAAAAATGGTTAATTTTGTCCAGAAAAACTCTTACAGGGCTCTGGTAATGAAAAAATGGATTAATCCAGTTGCTAAATTTAGAAACAAAATCCTCTACAAACAGTGTAGCCAGAATCCAAGTTTGGAGGATTCTTGACACCAAAAAATCGCGACTGCAAAACCTGACCGTTCATCTATGAACAACGCTAGCAACTAAACTGTTCATTTTGTCCATAACTGACATTCCCCAATCGATTTTGCTGATGTCATGGCCCCTTGAATTTGAAACCGATATTTTAATTTTGGGTGATAGGCCCTTCTTCACATTAAGCATCTGGGACATTTTGAAAAAAATGGCTCCATCGTTTTTGATTAAATGTTGTTGTTGGACTGTGTGAAGGCTGTTTAAGAGAACGGTGTAGGTTTCATTTGCGTTGAAAACCGATTTTTCGAAAATTGCAAAACTTCATTTTATTCCTGCATCTTCCTACAACTACAATTATGAAGATAGAGATTTTTCCCTTAATGAAATCTGTTCCTTAAAGATAGATTCTGAACTGAGGGCATGTACAATTTTTCGAAAATTTTGAGTACTTTTTGCATAATTTTGCATGCAAGTTCAGGCGAGAAAGTACGTGCTGTTTTAGCTCCAGTTATTGATTTACATTTTTTGAAAAAGATGATAACAATAAGTTTCTAATTAACAGCATGAAAGAATAGCAAGATGTTTCCCCCAAATCTGAAAAATAAATAAATAAAAATTGAATATTGTTTAATTTGCCATGGAAGTGTAATAGTAATTGTAGTAAACATTTTGTGAAATCAAAAATTTGCCACAGAACATGTTTTTCAAAACAATTAGTTAATGCTATTTCCAAAGAAACTCCAATGAGCCAGACTTAGGTTCTTTGATTTAATTTGATTATGACTGTTTAACCAATCTGCAAAAAAATCAAGCTGTAATAATTTAATATTCTTTATTATGATCTGAATGTTACAAATATTGTATTTCAGGATTTAACAACTGTTAATTGATAAATGCAATACATTTTAAAAAATATCTGCAAAAGGGTCACTGAAACAATGATGCATCACAGAGCCCCAAATAAAATTAGAGAACTGATACTGTTATTTGTCAACATGATGTGTTAACATAATTTGTAAATAAATTGGTCAAAAATTATAAGACATTAAGAAAACATTAGGACACTAGAGTTATTGCTCAAAAAGAAAAGAGGTCACTTTGTTGGTAAATTTTTTAAGATTTTGTGACATGGGAGACTACTGAAAATTATTTGTATGATTATACATTTGGAATAATAGATGGCAAGGCCACCTCATTTAAAGTGCTACTATAAATGAATATTATCATTTAGGAAAGTGCTTTCCATTGAATGGTCATGACACTTTGTTTTAACAATGTATATTCAACATTTAACTTCAAAATACTGTCCAAGCCTTTATCCCCCAAACTAGTGACTGAATTAACAGGCATTTCTGCAGTGAGCAATTTGAAGAAAGTGCTCCAGCTTTAAATTAAAGAATTATCAAGTAGATCCATATTCATTCATCCATTTCTCATATTTCTCTAAATCTTCTTTAGAGACACTTTTGTTACACTTTGCCAGTGCTTCTTCAAAATCCAGCACTGACACTGGCAAATCCAATTCTTCTTTTGGTAACTGTTTGATCTGATCAGGCCTCAATCCCGCAATTTTTCTTCGCATTGACATCATGGATGCATCTCTAAACCAAATAAAAGCGATGTTTTTTACATCAACTTACATTTTGAAACATGAGACTAATAACAGAAACATGGATCACTTATTACTAAAAGGAAACAGTAAAATTTCACTTCAAGTTTCTCAGGGGATAGAAGGGTAAAAATGTATAAGTGAGAAAAAGGCATAACTGAAATTGAGTATTATAGAGCAAAGCAAAAACTTAATAATTTAATTTGGCATGCTCCACTCGTGGACCTGCTTGCAGGAACTGTTACCAATGTTACTTTTGATTTATTTGATTTGATTTACTTAGTCACAGAACAGAAAAAACTATAAGTGTTATATGAGAAGTATAATCTGTGCACATTTTCATGAGCTCCAGAAACTCTTCCCAACCCTTTAACTATAAATAGTTGAATAATTAATAAAGTTTCAAAAAGAGAAAAGTTAGCAACTTTTGAAAATCCATTTTTGCTCCTGAGTTATAAAAAAATCTTATTTGCATATTTAAACAAAATGCATTTTTTTTATTGCTAATAAAATAGTAACACCCCTCTCGGCTCTACTCCTACTACTATTAGCAATAGGTAAGATCAACAAAACTTGTGCATAGTGAAGCTACACTTAGTCCAACAAGGAGCCATCTCAGCATTTGCTCAATGGATCAGGAAAAATGGGCAAAAACCTGATCAAGTCTGGAAGCTGGAGTCAATTACTTTACAGCGATCATTGAACTGAAAGCTGAAGTACATTACTTGTTATTTAGAAGTCACACGGGCCAGTCATAGGGATGCCCGGTTGACTTGCCTAGCAGACATTGCATGTTGAAAGCTAGATAATGAGCGTTATTTTGACTTGCATTGTTTGCTTGAGTGTTTAGCATGACCTGTAGACACAACACACATCGCCAAGAGTGCTCATGTGCCTTTTCACATACGGATAAATTCATTAATCTGCGATGCGCAGGCATCATTGACGTCACCAGTGTTAGGCGACACGCACGAATGCAACGCTCATATGACACATGCCTAAATGTCATTATAGATCTTTGATTCCCTCCACTTTCAATATTACCTTTAAATGCACAGAATTCTATCATGCACTGTTAGTGAACATTATGCAAAAACACTATCAATATTAATTATTATTCGCAGCCTATCACCCCAGATATAATAATTAATGCAAAGAAAGATCATCTCAAAAATTGGTATAAATACTTTTTTCTTTGGAGATAACCAATAGGTGCTGAAAGTATGTGTTTCCAATAGTTGGCACCTAGTATAGATGGGTGAGGGCCAAAAGAAGTCTATTGCTACAAAGCGACAACTCCACGAGTTGCTATTTTTCAAAACTATTCCTAGAATGTGGCAAACTTGGCAAATCATCAGTGGGTATGAGATTGTGGGTTTGCTAACGTTTAAATCAACGGCTACACTTTCCCTTTCATATAGTCCCATCATTAGCCACACTCCCCCTTCAGTAAAAGCCAGGAAGTTCCCTTGAGGAATATTCAATATGCAAAAAGAAAAAGGAGGCACATGTTGAGAGAATGATAAAGAACACAATAAATAACTTTCTTTCTTTTAAAGTTTATATCATAAAATATCATTCTCTCAATCTTATCATGTATCTCTGAGAGCATGATGTATTCAAACACATAAGCAGTATGTTTCAACATGTAACTTAACGACTTTTAGATTGTGCTAACAGTCAACAGACAAAAGGCCATCCAAATTCTGTTCCCATATACACATGTGAATCAGGTTCAAGCTTACACCAAAACCGAAGTTGAATGCTATTCGATTTGCCAATCAGCTTTTTGGACTGAAAACCTAATTTTAATTTACATTAGCAAAATGAGCACAGTAATAATATTCATTGAAATATAGATTATGAAGACTTACAAAGCTTAATAAAGTTTATGGATGAAGTTAGGTTTTTACAGAAGAAAATTGCCTTCCAAAGAGTTTCATGACCAACGTAGTTTCAGAACCACTGGCATATCCTTAACATTTGTGAATATCTGATTTTACATTTAAGTTTGGGTTTAGTGCATATACTTCTATTAACTTAATTACAATTTGGTAAAGAAGCCATTATGCGAGGGTAATACTTGCACTCACATTTTCCTTCAAGGTAGACCATAGACATTATTTTGTGTCTAGTGCTTTATTCAACTGTCAGTCTCTACTTTATTTTCTTCAGAAATAATGTGAAGAGTGAAATGGCAAATATGCACTTCAACATATGCCTTGCAGACTAGGTTAGTTAATGCATTAGAAGCACATGAACTTCACATGAAAAAGTTCCTAATCTACCAATTACCCAGTGCCAGAACATATTCATGATTCCAACAAAGCTTGTAAGAGTCTGGTACATTTGAGAAGACTATTTCGGTTGGTGGGAGACCATGAGAAGCTATAAGCTTAATGACTAACATCTTCCATATTGTGGATGTAATCCCATCAGATAGTACATGATTTAAAAATTAGTTTTGGCAAGAACTGGTATTTCCTTCTGACTGGTTACAGAAATGGCTAATGAATGAAACTGACAAAAAAGTGCAGAACTTCATTTGGGGTATCCAAGTGAAATGTAGGCATTTTAAGACCTTTCTCATATAATTCAAATATGAATAAAATGAATAAAATATATGAATGATATTATGAATAAAAATCCAGATTCACTATACAAATGTTTAAAAAATACAGCTTTATACCTGCAAACATTTGTGATGTCAGCTCCAGAATAACCTTTTAATCTTGCAGCAACTTCCTTCAAATCTACATCAGGGTCTAATTTAACTTCACGAAGATTAATTCTCAATAAAGCCTCCCTTCCATCACCTGAAAATAAAAAAAAATCCTCATTACACAACTGACATCTATATTTTTACCAGTTACCACAAGTTCATTTATTTTGCACTTACTATTTGGTAAAGGAATGTAAATACGTTTCTCCAAACGGCGTCTTAAAGCTTCATCAATATCCCACGGAAAGTTTGTGGCAGCTAAAACCATTACAATTTTTCCAGGATCCTCGCTGAAAACAAATTTTTGTCAGTACATTAAAATAAAAACTTTAAGAGAATATTTGTCCTTATAATTACCTGTTCGAACTGATGCCATCCATCTGCACTAAAAGCTCTGACTTAACTCTTCGAGAAGCTTCATGTTCCGATTCAGAACCTCTTCGAGAGCAGAGAGAGTCAATTTCATCTATAAATATTGTACTTGGAGCATAGAATCTTGCCTGAATAATTAAGCACATTTATTTTAACAAGAGTTTCACACATTAAACATTTGCATAAAAAGAGATAACTACATTAAAAAAAAAAGACTGATTCTACACATCGATATTTCATTACACACCTACGGACTGATCTCTACTCACCATTTCAAATAGAAGCCTCACAAGTTTCTCCGACTCCCCTCGGTACTTTGAAGTAAGTGTTGAAGATGACACATTAAAAAATGTAGTACAGCATTCTGTAGCTACTGCTTTTGCCAACATTGTTTTGCCTGTTCCTGGAGGGCCAACCATTAATACGCCTTTCCATGGTCGGCGAATACCCTAACATAACAAACATTCAAAATTATATACAAGAAAGCACAAGAGCTTGCAAAGATTTGTTTCACATGGGACTATCTATTAGAATGGGAACTACCTACTAGAACGAGAAGAGAGAGAGCAACTATGATGTTCAGTGACAATTGAGTTTACAAAGAAATTATCAATCTAAGTTTAATCAATGTTATAATTGCCTTTTTTATTAACACAACCAAAAATTTTGCCACAGTGACATCCATTCTTATTTGAATCACTTACAATCAAGAATTATTAGTATACTTTTTAGTACAAATATTAGTATACTCTTTTTTTTTTAAATACCTTAAAAAAGTCTGGCATCCACATGGGCAATACCACAGCTTCTTCAAGTAATCTCTTTGCTTCGTGCAAATCAGCAATATCATCCCAATGAATGTTGGGATTCTTTTGGACAATATCTCTTTCTGAAAAAATAGAAGTAATTCATTTTGTTGGTCATTTCTTTAGAAAATAATAATTTTGTTACACACTGACTGCTTTAGCTTTTATCAGTGGGTGATTAGAAGGGCCCAGATTCTCATTTTGACTATTTTATTCCTCACTTCTCACAGTCATTATTTTAACGTCCATACCTGTTTCTATCACCTCTCAACCAAATGCTATGTGAATGCTAAAGATTCTAAAAACAGCTAAAACGAGTTATGATCGTAACAGGTTAATTTGGAATTTCTTTAAAAATAAATAATGCAAATTTGGCTTAATAAAACTCGTTTCTTTATTCCGGTTGGTCAGAATTTTAGTTGACTAGCCTAAATTTCGTAACATTTCTGATTTCATTGGCTGTATTAGAGTAATAATTTCCTGTTAAAAATTAGAAGGTGCAGGTTTCCTAAATGAAGTGATGAATATGGTTTAAACTGTTTCATGGAAGGAAGTAACAGGGAGTTTGGGTGAAGTGTTCTCATCAAAACTCTCAAATATTTAATATTATTTTCATTATGCAAGGAGAAAAAACAAAATGAAATTCTTCTAGGAGAAGAAATATCTGAAGAACTACCTAGGAGAATAAAAGTAATGATAGTTGGGAAGGATGAACCATCGATTTCACGTTACATAGAACAAATTTTTGCTCATTTGAAATGTGTGTTGAGTGTCAACAGAAAGTCCTTCACTTAAGATATTTTGGACTTGTACATCGTTGTAACAGTACATTTTAATGAGAGTGAATTTTTGGTTTCAGTGTTAATTTCCAAAGTAATATTTTAAGAACTCGAAAAAATGTTCTTAAATTCTCCCTCTATATATATTTTTTCATTTTTTTCACGTTCAGTTACAAAAACATTAAATAAAATGAGTTAGCAATTAAAATTTGTTGTTTATTGCAATTATTGTTCAGTCTGATACTAAGTTGGTTAGAAAAAAGAATAAAAACTTACACTGGGCTAAATCAGCTTTCTTCCTAGCCTAAAATATATTTATAAAATCCTAAAATCTGTATTCTAGAGATTATTATTAGTAGGCCCTAGAGATATAGCCAAAAAAATGAAGAAAAATAGTATTTAATGATGTACATTTGATATTGATCAAAATTTAGTATCACTTTAAGTACTTACAAAAAACTATTTTCTACAGAATTTCAAGCTTTTTAATGGATCCAAGAATCTACAGCCATGAAAGAAACTCAACATCATTTGTTTTCAAAAGTCACAGAACAGTTGGACCACAGGACACATGATTACTTCCAGCTTGTGCAAAAATACTTAAATGAATTTCATGAGATAGCAACTGGTTAAAATGTAAAATGTTCTTTCCACTGGCGCTTGAACATTTACAATAGCTATCTATTCTGATCCTCATGATGTGGTAATTTACTTAAAACATGCTCTGGCTCAAGTAGAAATAACCCAGTCACTTCACAGGCTTTCGTTATGTTTTGATACTGATGAGCAGATATTTTATTTAATATTTGTTTAAGAAAATGCACCTTTTGAAAGTGTGTCTCACATGCACTTTTTCCATTCGCTTAATACATACTGCCACACTATCTTCAATGATTTAAAAATGGTTGAAGTAAATGCAGGCAGTTTGGAGGCAATAAAACAAAATGTACGCTATGACTCTCAGTGTTCCACTACATACAATGGTAGGTTATTGATAGATTCACCCACGCTTTATTTTGACCCTCTTTATTCTTCAGATAAGATGATGCAATTGTCAGAATCTACTTCACAGACTGTTAGGTCAAACCATCCACTATTATTGGCATTGCACTGTACTTTTGCAGAACCTCCTTGCTGCCAAGTATCCCAGACCCATTTATATAAAACTTAAGGGGGCAAAAGAATTCCGGAACCTGTCTCAACCATCACTAATGATACACCAGTCTTTGAAGAATCTATGAAGAAGAATACGGATGCTTTGTACCTCTTTTCACAATAACTCAAGCTTCCTCTGGATTACTGAATAAATTAGTTTTGTCAGAATGATGTCATGAATGTTGTCATGAGGGATATTCTGGAGGAGGTTTCAGCATGAGATCTTTTTATGTTTTCCCTGAGGCTAACAGAAATACTGCTCCACAAAAGACCTAACCCATTTAATTGTTTAAAAATTATCTTTTATTCCACCCTTCTCTTTCAACATATCCTTTCACAATGCACCTGACATCACCATAAGCAAACCGAAAACCCCATTGGCAAGCTTTAAATTATCAGCTCACCATTACAATTATTTATTATTGATACCACTAGAGATTTAACTACTTCCTATTGTTAAATACTTGCCATCATTGTATCGGGCTATATATTAGTTCCGAGATGATTAAAACAATAGGAGCATTTTCTTTAACTTATTATTACATCAGATCAAACATAACAATGTGAAAATGTCCAAAATCACCCCACTGCCTGATTGCACCCCAGTCGAGCAGTAGAGTGTCAGAGTTTAGAGTATTCACTAAATTCTTTAAGGTCATTAGAAGGAGTCAATGTCACCTATTTCCCTTTACCTCAATGATACTCGATGAATGCACTACATGGTTCAAACAGCATTATTACAATGTAACTTGAAATTTTCATACCCTTTAAAATGATAAAGCTATCACAAAAATTATAAAATTGCATACCTAACATATCAATCAAATCTCTATCATATCCTGATCCCTCAAATCTCTTCTCTTCTTCTTCAGGTTCATCCTCCTTCTCCTTGTCTGCTTTCTCCTAAAAAACATATTTCAACTTCGAATAGCAAAATCATACCAATAGATCATAAGGGCTCCTATTAAATCATTATTGAGCCCATTCTTCATTGAACACTTATCTACAATAAATTAATAATAACAATAAAATAGTATATAAATCAAATAAAAAATTAAATAGACAAACAAAAAAGATAGTACACCCAAAAATATATCTTACTGACTCAATCAGTTGTCAAAATTTTCAAATTTTTAACACACCTTTTCTTCCTTCTTTTCTTCTGGACGTTTAGTTTGCTTGGTTCGATCTTCCTGTTTCTTTGTTTGTTTAGAATCAACTACTCGCCTTGAGTTTATAGTAGCATTGCTATTTGTGGAACGCTGATTACGTGCTGCTGGTTTGGTATCTTTCTTCTGCAGACTACGCAGAGGTTTGACATGTGGAATTGACCTGCAGTAAAATTAAATTTCATGAATAATTATTACATTACAATTTTAACAACTTTGCCTGTGATGTATGAAAGTAAATTCATACCAAAATATACATTTATAATCAAATAGAATTGTAGTTTTATAAAACATATTTATTATCTTTCTTTCCTGAATGTAATAATTCAATTACTTAAATTGTCAAATTTCCAAAATGTTTAATACCAGCACTGGTACTATTATCGCGGCACTACAACCACAAAGAATTCTTCTAAAATATTGCAACCTCAACTTGCTGTGATTTACTGGCATCTAAGAGAAGAGGTATCAACTTATAATTATGCCATTATTGTGGATTTGTTCATATTATTTTCTCAATAATACATAGTCCTAAATACATGAAATAACATATAAATAATGTAACACTAATATGAAAGACTTATAAGAATCTGTAAATGTGCATTTAAAATTAAATATGCTTCATAACTGTTTTTTCATAATTTTACCACTAATGAACAGTTTTGAAAAGTGAGCTTCAACAAATTTTAAGTTGGCTAAGCTCTGCAAAGAGACATTTTCTTAACTTAAGCTACAAATTTTGACATGTTTGACATGCTATGTTCACAATGAACAGGAATCTCTCTAAGACTACCAGATTAAAAAAATGAATTTGCAGTGACCTGTCAACACTCCAATGAAATGTAGATACTGGAAGTGAATTTCATGGTAATCCATCACCAGAATCTGAAGACTCTCCAGACAGTAGGAGCTGGTCACAAAATCTCATTCTGCTCAGAAATTGAAACTCAGTCTTCCGAAATCATTTACATTAATGCCCTTTATTCCCTCATAAAAAGAGGAATGCAAACAAAATGTTTCTTTGGATACAGTAAACACTTTTTTAAACTAACTTGTGTTCAGCAGAAGTGGGCAAGGGCCAGTTCACATCTTCTCGTGGAGGTGGTGGTGGCCACACATCTGGGTCATGAGATGCTGCACCATAACACAATTGTGGGTCACGTGTAGGCTCTTCAAAACGAGCTAATGAAAAGCCTGTAAACAGTGTTTTCTCTTTCATACATACATACTTCATACAACATCATCCTCTTTCTTTCAATGAAGCAATGTCATAGGTACTGTTCTAGAGATGAACGAAACTCACCAACAGGTTTATCAGGATGGGAATCCACTTTAAACAGTTGCAATGTATTCATCATTGCTTTCACATGTTCAAATTCTTGATTAATTTGACGTTGAACCTGTATGACAACAAACATATTTCAATCAGAAATCAATAATTTAACAAAGAGTTCAAAATATGGATATCTAGTATATCCATGAGTACTGACTTCATGGCATGAAAAACTAGCATGAAAAAATCGAAAGCTTTATTATCCATTTCTCTTATCAAAACCCAATAAATTGAACAACCAAATAAATAAATTACACATTCATTAACTTCAATAACAATAACAGTGAAAACTACATAATTCTTCTCATAGAATTTTGAAGGAAACAGTTTTTAATATGCAAGTCATTTATATCATTTCAAGAAACAACATAACCAAGTTACCAACCATACCAAGAAACAACATAACCAATGAAAATTATAAGACAGAATATGAGCTTGAATGTAACCTTCATCCATTCAAATAAAGTCTTTAGAATATAAAAGCTATAAAAAGAATCTGGGCTTTAAATATGTGAATGTTTTACTGTCAGTTGTAAAAATGTGTAAGTATTTAAACAGCAACTGTTGCAAAGAAGCAGTATAAGTGAAATAATAACTTATCCAATTGAGAAGGGCCTCAATTGGATAAGTCGGTGGGAATGGTTTACCAGAGTATAAGCACAGAAAAGTACTTGTGAAAAAAGGAGCAAAAGAAGGTTATATTCAGTATATCCCATCTCCCTTCTCTCTTTTAAGCTACAAATGATAACCACTGGGTGCTCACCACTGCATGACTAAAACCTAAGAAAGGAGAGGAAATCTTGACAAAAAACAATAGAGGGAGGAGCTTAATGCAGATGTAGCAAAGCCAAACTAGATGAAGGCATAGTGAAGGTATTCCAAACAGTAAACAATATGAATGCTCAAAAGCTGAAAGGTGACAATTATCCTAGACATAAAGAGGAAACTACAAAGCTCTGGAGGTTTAAGTGAATAAGGATCTTGAAATGAATATGGATAACGCTTATGAAATCTACCAAAAATTTTCAAATCCTGTTGACAGTTGGTGGTTGTTTGGTCCTGGTTTGACAGTTGGTGTTTGTGAAAAATATTTAGACCCTAGCTCATTTTCACAAGAAAATTGTGTATCTCAATCTATTTTCATTTGCTTATATTACATTAAGTGGCATACCATCATTGTTCAACTCATAAAAATAAACTAAATCAACAGCATCAATAAATCAGAAGCATAAATTGTGGGTAATTTACAGCAAATGGTATTTTATTTCATGCTCATGATTTTAATGAAACCGTGTTAAATGAAATAAAAGTTACATGAAAAACTTATTTTCCTGTCAACTTATATTGCCTATTTAAACAATTATATACCTAACTTCATATTTCCAGAGCCTATTTTAGGCACCTAAAATAACCATTTTTAACGCTTATTGTAATATATCATATTACATGCGTGTTTTGTATTGGGTTGTGACTTGTCAGTGCCTTGTCTGTGAAGTGTGTGAAAACTTGTTGGACACTGGTCGGCATGGATATATGAATGAATGAATGAATGAATGAATGAAGGGTTTTGCCTTTAGAATTGTAAAGTCGACAGAAGACATTTTGACTACATCAGTATGGTACATATACTAAAATAATTGGTGATGGAGTTATAAATGCTGACAATAGAAACTAAGTATTTTTGGAAGGAATTCAGACATTTAAATGTGTGGAATCAAGAAGTAACTTTACCAAGTGGAATTCGGTGCTCGACTCTTGATGACATGATGGAGAGGCGTGCATGATCTTGGAAGAGGAAGCAGCTGAGAAGAAAGATAAGTGATACATGCATTACATGCGTTAGTATTATAGACTCATGATTGAAACAGTATGGTATTATTTGTTTTATGTAAATAAAGATAAAGGTCTTTAATGGGGTGGGTAAATTGGATGAAAAATAATTTAATTTCTTGTTCTTCTTGTACAATTTTCATTATTTCATGTCAAAAAACTAAATACTATTTGTCATTGATTCAACAGAGAAACTCAACATAGTACAGTTGACTCTGGTTATAGTGAACTTACAGGGAATAGCAGTTTTGGTTCACTATATCTAATGATGTCAAAACTGAATAGAATTTCTCCATAACAATTGATTTTATTAATACAGAGACACAGCAAAACGCAATAACGGCTTTGAGCTGAAAATTTCAATATATTTATTTGTCCTTAAAAAATGCATTATTTTCAACTGTTTGCTTTGTACATTTTTCATTAGTAATTTCTCTATATACTTCTTCAGAGTTTGAGCTTTTCCCAATGCTTCTGCATTGCCTTTTGTGTCTAAGTATCATAATGCAGTCTTGACTCCCTTCAATGCCTCTTGCACTGTTGTCCCACTCTCTGAAGGCCCTTTTACTCACCTAATAACAAACGAGATACTATAGGTAGCAGGATGGCACAAGTTGCAAATGAAACTGATTGCTTTTCCACACACCACCGAGGATATCACCAGGCATGTGGCAGTCATGTGCTTCCTGTTGCCTAGGTAGAACTCAATGTGCTTTGTCCCATGAAATATGAAGTAACACCATGCTAGATACTGAAGTAAGCAATCACGCATTGCTGCCTCCAGTTGTAGCCCACGCAGACACAACTTTTGTTTCTACAGTGACACTGAGTGGCATATGGTCCCTATTCCGGGTCCACTACCTTCGCCTCAGGGAAGACTTTGATTATCACCTTTGGCTGATATTTTTTTCAAGTTGCCTAGTGTTGGAATTTTTGGTACTGAGGCAATATTCTTTTCCAGGAGGAAATTTATTTCCAGGACATTGTCATTTCCTACGTTCACTATAACTGAGGATCAGGTTCACTATAACCAAATATTCTTATGCTTATTTGTAATGTAAGTGAAACAGAACCAGTGACTTAAGTTCACTATAACCGAAGGTTTATTATATCTGAGTTCACTACTGAACTGAAGTTACTGTAATTCTCTTTTCTATAAAGGTAATAGGAATTTCATCTTACAATTAATAAACATTCTTTTCACATAAATATTCTGTTATCTGAATGGAAATATTCCAAAATATCTATCTACGTCCTGAGACATTGTGAATTAATAAAGTGATATTTATCTATGTGTTTTAGAGAGGGATCAATTTACAGATGTGTCTTGGTAAGAGAGCAGTTCCATGTCAAGTATTTTAATAATGACATTTAAAAAAACTACACAATTTTTGGAAAATAAAGAAAATTAAACACCTTAATTATGAAAGAAAAAGCAACAAAACTGTTTATGACTGTAAATTCTCAGTCACAAACAAATGAGCAACAGTACAATATGCCAAAATGTATGGTCTTAACAAAGCTGGGTCACTAGAAACTTACTAGTTAATTTTCTTTTCTCAACACTTTGTATTTGTGCCTTCAGTATTGTGCTTCTATAACTTTTACAGGTATTTTACCACCACACATCATTTCATTTAGTATGTGGTGACCCTCCATTAGAAAAACCGACATTCACCTAGAACTGTGTTTTGCCACATCAAGGCCAGTTTTGCCACACCAAGGATAATTTTATACAGCCTGAATAACTTTTTATGTTTTGTAAAAATCATTTGTGATTGGTCAACAAATGGGCAGAAATACATTTGTTTCATAAATTGTCAGAATCATCATTGACAATAATGGAGGGGACAGAGAATCTATATCATAGAAGGAATTCTGTCCATGTGGACTAGCAATGTGTGGCTTGTTGAATGTTTGATGAAACATAGTGTAAATAGTCTTTCTAATTTCACTGAGAGAGATTGTATCATTTACGTTGATTGTATCATTTAGTACATCTATGAACAAACCACTATATTCCCAACAACTTAAGTGACTTTTTTGACGATGAAATACAGGGTGAGCAGGTGAAGTCTCATGCGATGAAGACTCATAACATATAGCATCAGACTCATCATCAGAAGATAATATGATACCCCTTGATCTTGTAAATAATATCGGAGAAAATATGCACATCCATGTTTTTGTTTTATATTTATCAATTTACAGTTTACACAAATTTCTTTTAAAATATTTTATCTTTCTATTTTTGAGATTCTTTTTTGGTTTAGGCCTAACATAACAATGCTCCGAAGAAACTATTAAATACTTTTGTTCTGTGTAGTATATAGAACATATTATTTAAACATATTTTCAAATATGGAGAAGATGCGTAACATCCTATTGGGTAAGCTTAGAATACAAATTAACTTATAAGGAAACTATTAGAAGCAGAATTGTTTATATCTAATAAACAAATTTATACAGAACTTCAAATACATTATTTTCAATTTTTAATAATTCAACAAACTACAAACGTCTGTAAAAATTTACCATTTTTAACTGCTTCAAAAAATTTTACATTAGGATTAAATTACACTGCAAATTCTTCAATTTGTTTCCATTTCAAATAGCTAGTTAATTAACAATTAAATTATAGGTAATTTTTTCTTTACCTGAAATTTAACTGCTGGCATTTTGCCTAAACTATTGAATTAAATTTTAACACTCTGAAGAAGTGTATCCTCAATGAATAGGCAATAATTTTTATTTTTAAATACAGTGATCAATCATGATTTTTCCAGCAATGATATTTACAAGATGTGAGTATACATTTAATGAACTTTTGTAAGTAAGGAATCAGAAGTACTGATATTGGAAGAATCAACAAACTTGAAGATGGAGATAGTTGACAGTTTGGTAGAGTCTAATTTGTCTTTGCAATAAAAATAACGGGAAAATGACTGATCACTCAGTATTATAGGAGGCAGACTGCAATGGAAACAAATTTTCTATGAAATATCATGTATGTACGAAAACTGTCTACAAATTCACAGTTATTACATACAATAATTATTATACAATTATATTAAGAATAGCAAAGAAGCAATTGTGAATTCTTAAATACTTTATCCGTAATATTTTAGGGGTCAGAAACAATTCAACAAAGAAAGAAAATCAAGTAAGCTGAAACCATGTCAAGAACATTGACTGAACACTGTGATTAGATAAGAATGAGAGGAAAGACTAGCACTCGCACATCTATAAGTAATTGGTCTGATATCTACCTCACTAAAATAAACCTCTGCTGAGGAAGGAACCAAGAATAATCCTACTTCCAACATGAGGGTAATACCCACACAGAACAAGAAATAAAGGAAAGGCTAAGAATTCAATGACACAACAAAATTCCATGTTTTCTGGATAGTCTAGGGGCACGCCAGAATATCTAATTTTTGAAGTTTACGATAATAATCAAAATCTTCCTGGAAACACTCAACTTTGTATACATCTACTATGCTCTTATAAATCTATTACAAAATTGAAAAGGGTTTCATTATTTTCTGTGACAGGAGAAACGGCCTAAATATTCATGCAAAATGACAGATACTTTTGTTGTTGTTGTTTTGGTATCATAAAACATAGGCTTTTACTCACAGACTGCCATTTTCCTTTTCTTGTGGGATCAGCTATTGTGAGCAGTAACCTATGAATCTGCTGAATGACACCTTGGTAGTACACATTTGCTGATTCATAGTTCCCCATTAGGGCCATTTCACGAGCCAGTTTGGTGTTCTCACAAATTTCACTGATAGATACTGCCATAACCGTCATCACAACAAAAAACCTAAAAAGATGTTAGTAACAAAAATTCAGTAATTTTTATAATCTTAAAACAACATTTTCAAGTCAAACGACCATCAACTATACATTTATTTAATTTGTATAAAAATTCAAGTTAAAACAATCCACATTTTCACCTATATCCTTCAATATCCATGTTAAACTACATCAGTCTCTTCATTCCAAACTTTTCTTTTTTTCTACTCCCTCTATCTGTACATTTAATGCAGCTTTACCTTGTCTCAAAATCAATAGCTATTTCTATTTTAACTGACATACATCTGATATGTCAAATTCATTCAAAGCATTGCATGAAATCTATCAAATTAACCTTCATGATTTTTATTAAAAACTCTTACCTACTTGCACTGGGCATGAATCTTTAATGAGATTTTACAATCTTCCTTCCAGAATAAAACAAATTTAACAATTACCGACATTCAAGGGAAATCAGACTTGTTAATATATCATCAAAAAATTAGGAAAATCTCAAACAAGGTTAAATACCATCTGTCTGAATTTCAAAATTTTAAAAATATCAAAGAAGCTTGTCGACCTGTTTCTTTCCACGTTTCTTTGATTTCTCAGTTAAAACAATAACAAAAAAATACTCATACGTCCATACCCACCTTCTACTATTTACGGGGAATTAACTCTCAGTAGCCACTGACACTAGGCATCTGTCAGAATCCAAATCCCTCTCCCCACTACCAAGTGACCAGACGGCCACAAACATTACCACGAAATACCATGGACGTACCACTCTCCCACCCCAAAAGTGGACGCGATCATTGTATTGCAGTAAGACTGTAAGAGGAAGTTTTAACTTTGGTGTCGGGGGGTGGGGAGGCACGGAATGCTCAAAAGCTACTCGGCTAAACTGAACTTTAGCGACATCACGCGGTGAATAAAAGAACTTTTCGCGGTATATTTCGGCTGTGGTCAGCGAGCTCACATGTCATTGCCATCTATACGTATTAAAATACATTATTAGTGCAGATGGTATTTAGCGAAGTACATGTATTGTATTAACGACGCATACTCTCTCGTATTAATCGCGCAATTATTTTTGCTGCCCCCTCTCTGGCACAACGAACAGTTGAAGGCAAAAGCTTTAGCGAGCACTGATGACAATATTCCAAACACATCTTCCCTGGTGCTACATATAAACTATTTTCTGTTGAAGATGAGAATTGCTATTCGTGATTTTCTCCAAAAAATCTAAAGAAATGACCGAGGCAGGTGAAAATCCATCATAGAAGATACTTCGAACTCCTGAGAAAGTTAGAACGCAAATTATTGAGAATCTTGCGAAGGCATGATTGAATCTCTAGAAATTGGCATTGCTTCATAAAATGTAGTGGCCGATTTTGTTACTAATACCCCCACTCTACCTGCATTTCTTCAATCAAGAAAAGCTGCAGGACGTTATTAGTAGAAAAAAGACGAGATAAGTTCTTTCATTTACCGCATAATGTCGCTGAAGCAAAGTGAGTCCAATTTTGCTGCTTATTTCTTTGTTCATACCCCATGGAAGTTGGGTCTCATTTTTACAGATTTCGTCGTTTCCATGGGTAAAGAAAAAAATGGTAAAAGAAACGTCTCTATTGAAAGATATAATACTTCAATTGCAGCTACCCAACACAAACGCGCTAAGAGAAGTGCTAAACGTACGAAAAAAGAAAAGTAGAAATATGGCCAGATTTCTATGGTACCAATGCGATGATCAATAGAGAAGGGACAGAGGCGGGGTGCAGGTGATTACGCGTCTGAAAGTGCACGGCAGTGCACGGTTTCTATCACCGAATATGACAGTTTCCAGGAACCAAGTGACAAACCTATGAAGAAGGAACCTATGCAGTGAATGTGAAAGATAGTGTGAGCGTTATCACACAATAAATTGCACCAAACAGACCAAATCTGTTACTATGTATGCACTCGAAAACTAATTAACGAAATGCACGAATTTCCATCATTATTAAATCTGTCCATTCTATGGACAAAGAGGGTGCATAAAGACTCGAACCATGGAGTAATTACATCACGATTTACTTTCAGGCTCAGAACATTTGGGGTAATTTAAACACAGTGGCACATCAAGGTCACCAGCTATACAGAGAAGGAGACATTATCAAATCGAGAGATTTGTTACAACTTTATTTTTTTTATATTGAAGGTACCAATTGGATTACAATATCCCCTCTTCTACCAGCATGTGATCATTAAATGCCACTATGTTTAAATCGAATATGAGGAATATACTCATATGGTACACTCTATTGTAAGCACAGTGACATATGGTGACATATGAAAGTTAGAATGTGGCCGGAGAGGAAAATATCCAATCGAAAGCTTAGTTGTGACTTGAATATCTCATTGAATATCTCATAAAGGAGCGTTCAATTTATTGATAATGCTTCCCTCTCCTCCTAGCGCATGACTGAAGTAGCACTACGTTTAAATTGTAGTATTTAAATTTGAACTCTTTGGCAAAGTTGATGGCTAAGAGAGTGCATTGATGCAAGTGACCTGAGCCGGTGATATTGTGTCTAAGTTGATCGTTGCTCATAATCAATTGAAAAGTGAAGTAAATTAAAAATTAGTAATGACAACTGTTGACGATGTTCGCGATATGTATTGGTACTACTGCTGCGGGTGACGTACTCTCAGATATTAGCAATCCCAGTTGCACACAAACGCACATGAGATTATCCGGTTGCACCTGGATTTCAAGTTGAATTGTAGTGTTAAACACCCCGTCGTATGTTTGGTGTGGAGACAGTAATTAGAAGCAGAACTGTATTGCCTTAACCTTCTCTGGCGACTAATAGATACTTGTTCTAAAGCATTAGGAGTATTATATTGTAAAATGGCTTTAACTCAAGATGAATTATTCAAGTTAGATCTTTATGATATTCTTGGATTGGAAGTAAAATGTACATTACAAGAGGTATAATGTACATTAATTTTTTAAATATATATATAGTGGTTTCAAAAAGCTAGTGTGTTTATTGTTTTCCCATTTTTGTGTCTTGTGCAGGTTAAACGAGCTTTCAGGAAGAAAGCCTTAAAGTGTCATCCAGATAAAAATCCAGATGATCCCAATGCTGCTCAACTCTTCCATCAATTGTCGTGTGCATTAGAAATTCTTTCTGATGAATTAGCAAGGGTGCGTTATGCAACAGAAAGAAGTTATTTAATGAAGTAAAACTCATTTGTAGATATATGTATTTTTTCTTTCTATTTAGGCTGCATATGATAAAGTCTTAAATGCAAGGAAAGCTGCTCAGATTCGTAATCAACAATTAGATTCAAGAAGAAAGAAATTGAAAGAAGACCTAGAGGAAAGAGAAAGGAATGTGAGAAGTGAACCAGGCTCAATCTTTAGGAATGAGGAGCAAAAACTGAAGGTATATTTACTTCCTAAGTTTATAATGTAGACTTTTCTTTCCTCACATTTTCTTTAAATCTTTAAGAGTATTGGAATGGAATGACATAACAAGCAGAATGAATATTTCTGTGCCAAAAACCTTCCACAAAAATAATATAAATATTGGGTTGAAATATAGTATACGGTACAACCTAAGGAAGTCATTTAAATCAGCACTTCACACTGTTCCGGCGTTAACTAGGCAATTAGAATTCTGGAGGCTTTCTTGAAAAGTGTTTTCTTATAAAAGTGAAGTGGTAATTTATGCGTTGGATAGTCTCAAGGATGTTTATAGTGAACGCGAGGGCCGAAGGCCTCAGTCTCACCGTGACTTGGATCCGGGCAAGCGAAGCGAGAAAACTTGCCTTTGAAAGTAAATTGGCGTTACAATGCGGCGGGGACAAAGCATATAAAGGATGAACCATGAAAATCTCCTATTCGTAAGTTTTACTCATTTCTATTAGAGCACATGCAGTGATTAGGGCTTAAGCCCCGCCACCACGCTTCTCTAAGGGTGTACCGTATAATAAACTTTAACCAAATATTATATATAAGTTTTCTTTACAATAAAGTATAAATAATTTTTTACATTGTTTTCAGGCAGAAATTGAACGCCTGAGAAAAGAAGGATCTAGACTTCTGCAAGAAGAAATCACCAAAGTTCAGGAACAACTTAAAACTTTTGATACCAACAAATCAAAATTTTATGAAGATAGTGATGATGATGATATAGACATTATACGCTTAACTGTTCAATGGAAAGCTGAAAAAGGAGATGCTAGTAACGGGGGATACAGCTACAGTGTTCTTTACAATATTTTGTCAGAAGTATGTACCAAAATGTAATGCTTTTTTTTTCTGTTTTGTATATTATTTCCAGTTCTTAATTTCTATACTATTCTTATATTAAAGGTAATAGTGGAAACACAATTGTTTATGCAGCCAGTGAAATACTTATTGTACACTAATATATTCGTGCATTTTGTACCCAGCTGCCCAACAACATTATGAGCCACAAGGAGTAATTAACACAATGCTATTGTAAAAAGTGTAATATTATATAACCAAAACCAGCCCATCTCTGGAAGTGAAAAATAACATACTCTTTACTTTATTTCTAAACTTCATAATGTGTTACCCAGTTTCCATATCTACTTCAGAAAATACAAAAGGAATTTTAAGAAAATTAATAGCATGGCAAAAAAATTATGAAAATGCAAAATATAAAAAAGATAACCACATCATCTAGAACCTTTGTAGAGAATGTTTTAAGGGACAAATAAGCAAGCAATCTAGTAAATGTTTGCAACTCTCTTTAATGAGCACTTTCGAGAATTGCAGGGGATCTCTTATGAGGAAACCACTGATTTCAACATCTTACATTTCCCCAAAAAATTTTGACATGTTTGTTTCCATTAAGTTTTCTATAACTCAGTAATGATAATGCCTGGTTTTTGAATATCGCTAACCGTGTGTTGGTATTTTAATCTATCCTCCATCTATTTATAGTAAAAAGTTTGAGGAAGAGATCCTGAAGCTAAAGAAAACATGTACAGAGGGTACTTCTATCCCAAATGTAACATGCCAGGGTGGCCACTTTCTGGAAAACCTGAAAAAATCAGGATATCTATGGAAGTATCATTAGAGAGTCAGGGAAAATTTAGCTAGGGTTGTAAATGTATATATTATTCCTTAAAAGCACTAGGTCAGTATTATTTTTCCTCAATTTTTATTTGGTGAAAAATTTCTTCATACTGTCATTAAAAAATCAGGGAGCTGATCAACTAGTAACAAGGCAGCATTAATGTTTCATTAAATGGTGAGAAATTACAAATTTTATCAGGAAAACATTTTAAAAAATCCACTGGAAAAGTCAGGGAAATTTTTTTTCCGAGAAGTAAATGGCCACTCTGCATACAATTTTTAATGTTCTTTGACAAAATAAAATCAAATTAAACTTGAATGTTCACGGTTTCTTTATTCCAGCAATAAAATATTATCATAGTAGATTTATATCTTTTGAAATAGTTTTAAAGGAAGACTTTACACTAGAAATTAAAATTTAGGAAGTATAAAAGCTTAAGAATAGTGTCCTAAAAAGTGATTTGATATGAGTTTATGATGGCAGAGAAGTAGAGATTAATTAATTTATAAGTTAGTAATTTATTTTGTTTTTTGAAATTATTTTCAGTATGGTGAGATTGCAGCTTTAGTTATTTCCCCAAAGAAAAGAGGAAGAGCTATTGTGGAATTCAAGACACCTGAAGCTGTTGTAAGATATATCTAAGTATTATCTTTTTTTTATTTTGTTTGTTTTTTCTCATTTTACTTTCCTTCTCAATTCTTTTCAATGTCATTTTCATCAGCAAGGTGTTGTGCCATTGCTTCAGAACTTTCTAAGAGTATTGTATCAAGCGACCTGAACTGGTGACAAACTGTCAATGTTGCTCAAAATCAATTGAAAAGAAGTGAAATAAAATATAAATTTGTAATAAAAACTGTTGGCAGTACATGTTTGCTATGTGTATTGGTTCTATTGCTACTGGTTGAAGACCTCTGCTACTTGAGCACACCAGGTAATTCGAACTTAGACTCCCTGAAATCTGTCAGCCAAAGAGCCTTTGTTTGCTACCTCCTACCATGCGTTTTATTACAGCTTACTCGTTCATGTTTAAATGTTACTAATCATATTTAAAGTGCCCTCTATCTACTTGTATCACAGTCTAAGCATTTCCTGTCTATCATGTATAAAAATCGTGTCAATGTAAGAAATTTCTGTATATATTTTCCAACAAATAAGCATTACAGGGTGATTTTAAGAGATCTTGCTGAACAGAAACCACCACTAATTTCTCTATTTCATTTTCTTTTTTACATCCAGTGTCTGCAAAACAGTTTTACAAAAATTCTTGTGTTGAAGTGAATCACATAGCACTGTTACACCAATTTTGTAAAATGAAAGTGAACTGCTTATAGTATTTTCAACTTAAACATGTCCCTCTTAACTCCCTGTTAATTATTATGCTACAAGGTAGAGCATGACTAATTAGCATTGAAAGAGAAAAAAGGGTCATTTTTCCACCGCAGAGAAACAGAACTGTTCCACAAGAACAAGTAGCATAGCTGAATTTTGGAAAGCTCAGGGGTCTGTTGCCAGTCAGATTTGTCGTTTTCGAGATGACAGCACAAAATCCACAAAGTTCTGAATTAGACACATTGTATTTAATGATTCTAAATGTTTCAATCTGTGGAAGTTTCTCCAGTGAAGTCCTAAAATACTCTTGTTACGATATGCAAAATAATCATTTATAATCTCTGTTGCAAAATGTGAGGACTAATAACTGGAAAATATTGATTTAATCTACATTTCAGAGTCTCATCTATATTATATTCCTGTGCTTAACCTTCATCTTCAGAATCTGTGTTTCCCTCTTTATTTAAATCTTACTGACACTACCTTGGCACTTGCAAAACATTGGCATTTTCAAAGAAGAAGCAATTAGTTAACAAACAATGAAAAGAAATTTGGATCACATCACGACACTTCTAGCCAGTTTATAATCTAATGACAAAACAATAAACACAATATACATTTGCTTTGTTTACATTTTTGTTCTCAACAGAATTTCTAGAAAGTGAATGAAAAATCAAATTTGGGTTACGCACTTGGAGAGTTTCTCTGTACCATTCAGCTATTGTAACAAGATACACAAGATGTCTGTTTATAGAAACTAAACATAAGTTTATCCAATTAGTAGCTTAATAAAGTGACTAACTTATACAATTTTGACTCCTTATACAATAGGTGTGATAGACATCTACCAATAGCTTACTTCAAAGTTCATTGTGTTGCCAAAACACTGTTTCAAAAACACTTTTTTGTACAAGGCAGCACAATTAATTTCTCCCCAATATCATTTGCTTCTCATTATTTAACAATAAGTAATATTGCCTTGAAAGATATATAAAAAAACTTTCTTTTTTCTTAAATTAATAAAATAGAATTTCTAAAAATGAATTATTTTTCAGCAACATTATTCTATAAAATAAACGGATGAAATAGCAATTCACCTCCCTCAAACAATTGGTAAATGGTATTCAGAGGTTAGAAAAATGTATTCCACATAAAAAAAAAAGGTTTGTTTACTGATCCTCCTTAAAAACCTTAAAATATCAATTTGCGTGGTTCCACCAAAATTCCAGAAATATGACAAGTTGTATGAATCCTGTTGAAATTCATGTGAATTCCGAGCTCAGTAATGAGTGAAAACTATAAGTTGAATGAGACTCAACTTGGAGTACTCGACTGGTTTTGCTAAGTCAAACCCCACTCAACGTAAGAATACAAATGGTTAAATATTTACTTTCAGTGATATCATTTCTCTTCCTCATATTTGAAGATTTTCTATCCCTCTTCAATCTTTCAGTTTTTAAAATAATAATCACTTTGTAAATATAGTTTTGATGTTACCCATTATAGTATGTACATAAATTACTAGAAAGGAAAATTTTATGTTTCAGAGTAAAGTTTTGAAGTCTTTAATAGGACTACCCAACAATCCTCTGAAAATTGAAATACTTGGCCTCCCAGATTCTATGAAAAATGATGCTTCGGCATCTAGTGAGCAAAAGGAGAGCACAAAGAAAGACAGTGTGTTTCCATCGTTTTCATCAATGAATTATCAGACAAAATCAGATAATGTTTCTTCAAAATTATCTTTTGGAAAGGTAAGTCATTTACATGATTTATATTTAATTGTGAAACTTAAAAAGATTTGTGAAATATTTGTAATACAATAAAATATATTAAATGAAACAAGTTTAAAGTCTTGTTAGAGACTGTTCTTGCATAAAGAAAAAAATATGTTCTGTAAAATCAAATTTTCACTGGCTGTATCTTTTTCAGAGTGCACCACTGACAAATGACGAGATGCTTGAAAATGCTGTTCTTCAGAGGCTAAGAAACATGGAACAAATGAAGAGAGCAGCTGCTGAGAATGCAGCTAGCAAATGAACTGCAGTCAACATCTAGTGTTTGTTCTGCGTATTGTGTGCTTTGGACTCTTAGTACAATTACAACTGTGCATTATATAAATATATTGTAAATGTTATTTATATCCACATACACAATGTTTCATATAATTGTTTTATAAAACGGTGTTTTAATTGATTACCATTCTGGCCTGTTTCCTGTGGAAGCTAATTTAATATTAAAACTAGTTTGAAATGCCTTCTATATTGTTGTTAATAGACACATAATCACACATGTGACTTAATCAATTCAATGGTGTTCAGGTGGAGAAAAAGTCAAAGTGAATTTGTATACAAATGGAAATTAAATTTCATGCCAACATTGTAAATTAGTCAGTATTTAAAAAATTATAAACCAATTCCATTTTCACAAAAAAGCACTTGACTTACTTTACCCAAACATCATAGAATAATGTTTTAAATGATTACTGTTCAAAGATTTGAAAATAGTAGATAGATCCCTGTTCTTTATAGTCTGGCTTGTTGGATTGCACTCCCTTTATGCCACGATACACTAAGTAGACCTTAGGTCTGTCTTGATATATTTACTTACAAGGTCTAAGATAGAGTGTAAGCCTATCTTTGTGTTTGAACCTTTTTATGTGCTTTGGGTGCCATTCCATCAAAACCGTCATCTCACAATAAATCATACATCCATTGTAGTGACCATGTTAATGAGTAAGGCAAAAGGATTTGGGAGGAATTAGGTCGGAGGTGACGCATGGACTGAGAATGCCCTGCACACCTCATACCCACAATAATGTGCTTGAGTAACGTAATTAAATCCCTAGTTAATTAAGTAAGTTGTTCTTTTTAATCATTAATAAGTAAGTGATTGTTAGGAAATTCAGTTATTTTTTCAGATAAAAACATAACATTTTGAGATTTTCAAATTTATTTTATTAAGTATATTGAAATCACTACCAAAGCTATTATGTCTTAATTCTCAAATTCAGAAATTACTTGCTAGACAAGACTAGTAGTTATAAATTCTTTTAACCACATTCTATTAAGATAAATTATTTTGAATACATTCACTTGTTTTACTTCCTTCGTATGTAGTAAAGAGAGTTGTGTAATGCTGAAGCGAATTTTTGCCAGAAAATCTCATGTTGCTGGGCCCTGGCAATGAAAAAATGGATAAATCCAGTTGTTAAATTGGGGAGTGGAATCCTATATCACGTGGTGTAGCCAGAATCTATGTTTTGCGAGTCATCGATACCGAAAAATCGAATGATTGCAAAGTCCGTCCATCTGTGAAGAAAGCTAGTGGCTAAACCGTTCAGCCTATTTTATCCAAAATTGATACACCCCAATCGATTTGGCTGATGTTGCGGCCCTGGAAAATTTTCAAAAAGGTGAAGACCCTGGAAAATTTTCAAAAAAATGGCTCTATTATTTTTGCTTAACGTTTTTTGTTGGATAGTGTGACGGGCATCAAGAAAATGATGCAGGTTTCGTTATCGTTAAAAATCCTGATTTTTCGAAAATTGCAAAAGTTAAAAAAATTTCGGAATCTTCCATCAACTTCAAGATAGAAATGTTTTTTCCTTAATGAAATCTGTTCCTTAAAGATGGATTTTGAAATAAAGTCCTATACAATTTTTCGAAAATGTTAGTCCTTTTCGCGTAATTTAGCGTGAAAATACGGGGAAAGTACACGAGCACGTACTTTCAACGAAAATTACGCGAAAAGTATTCAAATTTTTGGAAATTGTACACGATCTTATTTCAAAATCTAAGGAACAGATTTCATTAAGGGAAAAATATCTTAATAATTAGTAGTTGTAGGAAAACCCGAAAAAAATAACTTTTGCAATTTATAAAAGTCAGAGTTTCCAACGAAAATGAGACCTGCACCTCTTAAAACATCCTTCACACTATCCAACTAGTGGTGCTAAAACAGCACGTACTTTCACGCAAAATTACGCGAAAAGTACTCGAATTTTCGAAAAATTGTACACTATCTTATTTCAAAATTTATCTTTAAGACACAGATTTCATTAAGAGGGAAGTATCTACCTTCATAATTGTAGTTATAAGAAGGCACCGAAAAAAATTGAATTTGTACAATTTTCGAAAAATTAGGATATTCAAAGAAAAATTATACTTGCACTCTTCTCTTAAACGTCGTTCACACTACCAAACAACACAATTTAATGAAAATGGAGCCATTTTTCTGTAAATTTGAAAAGTCCTACGAAATTTCAAATCGAAAAATAAATAAGTACGAGAAAATATGAGCGAAAACGAGACTTTGGGGATTTAGGATGTAAGAGAAAGTAAATAAAATTAATTTAGGAGGTTTAAACATATTAATAAAATATTTTAAATAAGTGGCTAGTTAAATAAGAGACAGTTGTCTAGTCAAATTAACTAATGGTGCAGTGGCAAAACCATAGAATAGCATCGAAGTCGCCAGAAAACAACGAAAATAAATGTTGAGGTGAATTTTTGGGCAGAACGTGAAGTGTCTCGATAGGTCCAGGATGTAATGCTGGTAAATAGCATGAACTTTGTAAAGTTTTAAATCAGAGTGAGTTGTGATTTTAGCAAGCGGCGGACATTTATTTGCGTGGTTAACGAAATTTTAACGAGTTAACAAATGAATTTAGAAAAGCCCTAACACTATAAATTCGCGGTGATATGGATATTGTAGATCTTTTTTCGACGCATCACCAAGAGGGCTGTGTTTCAATGAAAGGGAATTGCTAAGTATAAGAATTTCGGAAAGACATTGAAAAAATTCAATGTACAATGCCAAAAATGTTAATTAAAATAAGTTAAGTTTAAAATGATAGGAATAAAATAACGATGCTCAACATAAGCAGGACAATCAGTAAAATTCAGTAAAGATAAATATACCAGTTGTTTGCTTCACAAGTAGTAAGATAAAAATTAAAATTGTAAATTTAAAAAGAAAAGAAAACATATTATTAAATTAATAATTGCAGTTGGCAGTAATCAGTCGCTGTAATTTCATTTAACAGAATAATTGTTGTTATTTATAAAATGCATAGTACGATTAACCAGAACAACACTATTTCCCTTCAGAGTAGAGATTATAACCAGCCCTGACGTCGTGAGGGCGGTTATTTCGCAGGATCACAAAGAAGAATCCGAAATATTCAGCCTTGAGATGAAACGATCATTGCGCCCCATTGGGACCCCAAGAGCGTACGTTCACATAGTTACGGCACTGGACGCCGTCAGCGCACTAGAGTATCGGCATCGTTGAGGCGATCGACAAATGAATCGAAGCGGTCGCTGCTTGAACTCACGGTTTCAGAGCGCTCGGCATTCTGATTGGGACCGGCGACTCGTAGAAGAAAACGGAACGTAATATTGGAGAGAGGAGATTCGAGGAAGGCGTTCATCTGGAAAGAATTATAAAAGCTTAGTAGAGGTTTATAATGGATAACGAATATCACGAAATGGAAATATATTATGCATAATACTAAAATTACCGCGTTTGCATAAATACAAAGTGGGTGGTTGATAACAGATAATGTAATATTCTACTACACCATGTAATGGCGCCATATGCTATATAGGTGAAACATAGTACATACATTTGTGAAGTAATATGCTGTATATTAGGAACATAACGGAAAAGGGGCCCGCGGAATGATGCTTTGTTGCGGCATTGTAATTCTCGTCGGGAGTTTGTCACTCCAGATAACGTATTTCAGAACGGAGCGATGAATAATTAATTCGTATTTTTCACTAACTTCTGTATTTTTTTTATTGACATTGTTTGAACGCGCATTTCGAAACTAATAGGCGGATTGTTGTCTGGTTTGCGGCATTGAATTTCTCGTCGGGTGTTGTACTCACATACGTATCTTCAGAACCGAGCAAATGAAAATTAAATTATATTCGTTATTTTTCACTAAAATTTCTGTAATTTTTTATAATTTTGTTTTCAAGCGCAATTTCGATAACTAAAAAGGGTCGGGTTGATGTCTGGTTTGCCGGCATTGAGTTTTCGTCGGGAGTTTGTACTCAGCATAGTAATTTCAAACGGAAGCGATGAAATTATTACATTCGTATTTTTCAGCGTAAATTTTTCTGTAATTTTTTATTTGACAATTGTTTCAACGCGCATTTCCGAAACTAATAGGGCGGATTGATGTCTGGTTTGGCGGCATTGATTTCCTCGTCGGGAGTTGTACTCACATACGTTAATTTCAGAACTGAGGCGATGAAAGTAATTATATTCGTATTTTTTCACCTAATTTCTGTAATTTTTATTAACTTTATTTCACGCGCATCTTTCCGTACCTAATAGGCGGATTGATGTCTAAGTTTGCGGCCATTGAATTTCTCGCTCGGGAGTTGTACTCACATTCGTAAACTTCGGAAGGGAGCGATGAAATTAATTTCTATTTTGTAACTTGAGAGAGAGAGTAAGAGAGTGAGAGAGAGAGTGAGAGAAGAGTAAGTGAGTGAGGTTAGTGTTAAGAGAGGTGAGAGAGAGAATGAGAGAGAGTGAGAAGAGAGTCGAGGAGAAAGAGAGTGAGCAGTGAGATCTCTTACGCGCCGGATTTGAAACGCTTTTTTTCATTTTTTTTCTTTTGAAGCGAAAATGTGTAATAAATTAGAATTGATATTGAGTTTATTTTCACCAGAATAGTCTTACGCAACGTGAGCCGCAAAAACTGGGTGATGCGAATCCATCCTCGCTTCCATTGGGCTTACAACACTGGGACAACCTAAAGAAGAGCGTGTAATAATCTGGAACTATTGATACACAATTTTTCGTGGTATCGATAGTAAGGTTCCATGTTGAATTCCACTTTATTAAACTAATATTAACACTCTGCACACACTTTCAAAACCAATTACAAGAATTTTTCACAATGTTTCAATATATCTTAAATTACAGAACATTATTCATCAATTTTTTGACTTTTCAATATTCACTTGGGAATTTATTTAACACATTTACATACTAACCGCCCCATCATTTTTCGTTGTTAGTCCATATACTGAGAAAATGTCTCTGCTCTCCTCGAGTATAATGAAAAGAGAAAGGTTTCTTCACAGGGAAAAACAACGTTCCCTAAAATTTGAATATGGCCTTCCCATGCCAACGGAAGCGGAGTAAAATCAAGAACGTTGGAAGATCATATTTGTTTCCTGTTTTCCAGGCTAATGGCAGGAAACAGTTCTTGATACAAGTAATGGACAACTTCTAGTCCATAAAAGATAGTTCCGGCATATTGATGTCTCTGAGTCGAAGTGGCAACTAAAAATTAGTTGATGACCAAGATTTAGATAGCGCTATTTCTTTGCTGTCCAAAATTGAAGAACCTTGACATCGTACGTGTTTTTTTGTGTTTTTCCACTTAAATCCAAAAAATAGGCTCACCATAATCATTTTTCTGTAATTTATCACAGATAAAGCATTCCATCAGAATTTAGTTGTTGCCGCACTCTCAACAAATAGGATAAATTATTGC